GTTGAACAATATTAGAAAAGAAGCTATGTCTACTTTGAAGGATCCCGTAATCTGTTTCCTTTTCCCCCTTTAATTCTTCCAGGGTAACAGTGTGAATCTGAAAGAGGCACTGAGTCTATATGAAGAGCAGCTGGGGAAGCTTTCATGTCCGATAGACTTCCGAAAAGAGGTGGTGTGTGTGCCCTCCTATTTGGAGCAGTATCCTTCTCTTGTTTTTAAAGCAGTGACGTACAGATCGACACATTTACGGATGGTAAGGTTAAAAACATGTCTTCGTTCCTTAACTGTTTTCTCAGATGGGTTTTTTACACCGCATGGAAGAAGTGACAACCTCCTTTTTATTCCTGCTATAATTCCCAGCAGCTGGAATGTGAATGTGTGAATGCTTCTTTGTTTTTTCCCATAGCCTTGAAGGTGTGGTCAGACTGAACGTCATGTTAAAAGAAAAGGACACAAAAGGTTAAAATGTTAATTGTTACTGAGCCTTGCTACTTTTACAATCAACTTGCATATAAAAAGTATATAATTTTTTAAACTGGCACATGCTGTGAGACTGTAACCTGAGTGATGAGCTGTGAACAGATCTGACTTCCATGTTCTTCCTAAGGTTCAAAATGCTGACTATTCAGATTTATAGAATGTAATATATTCTTTCAAATGAAAGGTGTAATGCAGTGTAAACTTTAATTTACTGTTTTCTAAACCTGAAGGAATGTTTGATTTTAAAGCCTCAACTTAGTGCATCCTCGGTTCCTCACGTTGGACCATCGTGGTGATGTAACTCCCAAGAGGAATCTATAGATCCCAGTGTTCAGTGCAGCAAATATCTGCATCTACTTCTGTTTGTTTTGGTTAAACACTCCAACCTATTTTGAGCCGCTTAATGTGGGGTTAAAAAAGAAAAGGAAAAGGTTCATTTAAGTTCAGTCTGATCTCACCTCAAGGTACACATGAATATTTTTATCTTCATTTAATCCTCTAGATTTTAATTGTTTATCAATGTTCGCTGAAACATTTTGGGTTGGACTTTTTCTATGTTCTTAGATTTACTTTTTTTTGCATGGATTCTGAAGAAACCTTTCCATTTAAACACTGTCCTGATACACTGACGTGGTAATTTAACCCACCATACACGTGTGATCTATTATCTTAGACCTTGAGTTGTGAACCTGTTGTGAGTTGCTATTAAGCTTTATTTTGCTTGTTTTTGCCACTGAAATGTGATGCAATTCTGCCTGTATCAAGGCAGTGCGTTTCATCCCCTTTAAGTCTTAATTGTTGTATTCTGGGTGTGTTTTATTTTTTTTTTAAAGGGAACGATTCCTCATTGCTGCCATCTTTGTGCTTGTGCTGTTTTTTTATGTTATGTTTTATTAGCACCTTTGAGGTCTCCTGATACAATAATTATACTAGGTGCATGCTGAGGACGATGAATGTAGCATATATATATTATATAAGTACAGCACATTAGATGGACCCTGTGGGTGTTTTTATTTATTCATTATAGACTCACCAAATGCTGTTATGTTCATTTGTTTGACCATCTACGATTAAAGAGTTTTTGGGGAAAAGGTTTCTTTATTAGAGCATTTTCAGGTTTACAGAAAAACAACACCAAAAGGTTAAGGTTTGATGTTCCTTTTAATTAAATAGAGAAACGCCTTTAAAAGACAAAAATATATATATTCTGTATTTTCCGGACTAAAGAGTGCACCTCACTATAAGCCATGCTCATAAAATTTTTCTTGAAAAACTGGAAACATACATTCATAAGCCGCACCGGGCTATAAGCCGCTGATATCTACTGAACTGTCACCCACCAAACCACTAGGGGGAGTCATGCCTATTGATAGCATGTTCCTGTGCTAAATGAAAATTAGCCCCTTATTCATTCATTTTCAACTTTGACTTCCCCCTCTGGTGGTTAGGAAAAGCCACAGAAAAGCCGCACGTTCTTATAAGTTGCATAGTTCAGAATGTGGGAAAAACGCAGCTTATAGTCTGGAAAATGTTTTCTTTTTTTGGTACGTTTATGTTTGCATACATTTGTTTTGTAAGGTCAGCCTGAGGAGAGATTAGGGGGCGTCGATCTTTAGACACTCAACTGGATTTTTTTTTTTTCACTTCGGCTAAAAATTGTATTTATTTATTTAGATACTAATGAATATTTATGTTTTAGCATTTCCTCCCATAACTAATTGCATTGAATTTCCCAAAAAACATTTAGTATAACATTTATATTTTTCTGAGGTAAAAAGTTATAAATGTTTTAATTATTTAGCCAAATCTTCCAAAAATATTAGCTACTCATTTGTTCTGATTTTTTTTTTTTCCTACATTTTTAAAACCTAAAATTTTAAATGGCACAGTGGTTGTTTAAAATCTACATATTTCCTTAAGCGGATATTTAATAAATATATATTATTTTTTATTTATAAATTCACATATTAAAACAAAGGCATATTTGCTTTTTAAGAGTGGAAAAAATTGACATTTTCAAAAAACCTTTACCTGGGGTGGGTACCTGCAAACTTTGTCACAGTTTGCAGCTTGGAGAAGCTTCTGTTTGACTGAAGTCAAAAATGGCTCTTTGTACTGTAAAGTTTGCAGATCCCTTCTCTAGATAGTTTAAAATAGGTCTTACAAAATGTTCTGCAACATTAAACATATTCTGCCAGATGCTTAGGGAAGCAAATTCTGCTTTTTAAAAATTATTTCATTAGCAAAGAGTGAAGTCTTACTTCATCCTTTTGCATAAAAGCTTTCCAAGTCAAATTAGACAAACGTGAAAGACCTGCTTTTATGTATCAGTTTTTTTTTTGTTAAATATTGTAACCTTTGTCATGTTCACTTCAACCGTTTAATATAGTACAATTCTGCAGACTTGGTGCCTTTCTTGTAGCTGAACAAGTTTCTGCATTTACAAACTGGCTATTTTATTCTATCAAGGCACATCTCAACCTTAATGCTTGCTATTATGTTTGAAACTTAGAAAAATCATAAACACCTGAGTTACAGCAAAGTAGAAGGATGTGCAGCTCAAATGTGAACTTTATTTTGTCATTTCAGCTGTTTGGATAAAGTGCATTAGATCATTAAATTGTTCAAAAATGTAACTGAATTTGTCTAAAAGTAAATAAATAACTTTTTTTATATATATATATATAAAAGGCGTCATAAAAACAAATATCAACTTAAGACTTAGAACTTCTCAGAAATCAATTATAAATGATACAGGTGCCATGGAGAATGACGTACATAAATAATATTCTCTTGTATTTTACATTATATACACAAATAAGAAGACAGGCTTCTCTTTCTAGGTCAGGACCCTCGTCGGTTCCTGAGTTGACTGTTTATCTCGTTGAGAACCACATCCGTCCTCGGTTCTTCATCAGCTGTGATTATTCTGTCTTCTAGCGGATTTCCTGCAATGTACCAAAACAACAATATATTGAATATAAATATAATTAATATAAATAAACCATAGCTTTTGAACCAAGCCTGCGCCATGCACAATTTGATAGGACAGAGGACGGAAACAGATGGAGGTAAATATTCTCTGTGGTACACGGCCACCCGCAACTGCTTGCAGATTCCTTACTTTATATAATATATTACGTTGTGTTCAAATTAACAATCTGATTTAAATGTTTATCAGCCCAGAAAAAACATTTAGGTGTAAATGTATTTTTTCTTGCTTCAGGTGGTGCTTCATGAATCAAAATATTTAATTCGTAAAACAGCACCTCATGTGTAATGCGATGCGAGGTATAGTGTTGGATCTATGAGGCTGTGGGCTCTTTTTGCCCTCCCAAGACCCTAGGGACCCTGGTAGAGTTAATGGCATCATAGATGGTATAAAATATATCTTAATCAAAATCCTGAACCCGGTCGCCAACATGAAAATGGATCAGAGGCCAGACAGAAGATTAACAAATAGTTACTGGTAGTGGTTCTAATAATTGAGGAAAAAGTGTTACCATGGTACTAATTATGCTGAATGTTACCTTTTTTTCCCCCAACTGAATATTGAAATTAAAGTAATCAACACCATCAGGCCCAGTTTCCTGTTTCAACCATCCACATCCAGACCCAGGTACCTGCTACAGCCATCCAACCTACCTGCTAAAACGAAGTAGTCCTACATCACCTAACTCTATCCCTTCTTTCTGCTCCTGTCACAATCTAACTTTCTCCTTACATCATCATCACAATAAGCATCAGGTGAATCTGTCTAATCTCTACTTCCCTGGTCCTCAGAGTTCATACCAAAGCAACACAATCTGAAAATGGCGCTGCTTAGTACTTGTTCCCGTACAAATGAAAGTGTCCCTCATGCCAAGGAACAATCCATGCAATTTTGGTGATGATACACATAATCTTTTTTTAAAGAATCTATAACACCAGAGGGAGGCATCAGTGAGTATTGACAGCCTCAGCATTGGACTCAAAAAGTCTAGAGGTATTTAACTGAAGACAAAACCACAATAAAAGGGAATGTTGTTGATTATTAGGATCAATTGAAAACATTAATGGATTTAAAGTATTTTCTAAACCAGAGCTGTGCCTCCTGTCAAGTCACAACTCATTAAAATTTAGTACTGATCCAGATCATGTGACAGTTTTGACTATATGAGGCTAATTGTTTAGCTTGGTGTAGATCTGTGCTCTCTCAATGAATGCAGAACAGGGTTAGAGGGAGGGACCACTGATCTCTATTTATTCACTGGATTGCTGATAGCTCAGAATAAGTGAGCCCCTGCCTCCAAAAAATCCTTGTGCACGCCACAGGTTACAGGTCAACCATAATTTTTTGTAACAAGGCGTGACGGTGTTATCACTTACCGATGCCATTCATCTGCAATGAAGGCGTGCGGGGCAGAAAAGAGGTGCTGGATGGTCGGCTGCTTTGTGAGGACGTAAAGGAAGTCAGTGGAGACTTCTTGGTATTTTTCTGTGTTGCAGTGCGACTCCACTCTGAATAAAGTATGGAAAAAAGTGTTTGAAATGAATTGAGGGAGAAAAAAAAATCAAAACAGAAGGAAGGCATAGATACAGACTTACCTGAATTTTCCGAGAGTCTCATTTTGCCGCAGCACAGGTAGGTCCTCCACTGCCTCCGGACGGTTTCCTTCACCAAGCAGTGGAACACAAATATAAAGAAACCTACAAAAAAAAAATAAAAAAAAACTTTAGGGGACAGCACAGTTGATTAAGTGAATGGGCAAACTGGAAATTTCAACAACTCACCTTGTAGGGAGTTGAAGATGGCAAAAAGGTACATAAAGGCCAGATTAACAGGCCCCCAGGCAAAAAAGGCAAATCCCCAAGTGAGGCCTAGGAGTATGGTGATCCCTAACACACTGCGTACATCTTGTAATGTGCTGCGATGCTTGTTATTATGAGGGTTCTGCTTTTTTATCCGGTGCAGCTGGACTAAGACCACAATGAACATGATGAAATTGAAGAGGAAAATCACGCAAAAGTAGGCCACAACCGCCACGTAGAAGGCAATGTCGTTTCTTATCCAGCAGCTGCAAGACAACAAGGAGGAAGAGTAAATATATTTATATTAGATTATTTAACAAGTTCAATCACTGGAAATAGGTCTTCATGAGCTTCTAATATTACTTAAATCTAAAGATTACAGATACATAACATATTAAGCCAAATTTATCAAATATGACTGACACTTTAAGAGCTAGTGTTTTGTCAATTTGCTTGTCTGAAGCATACACGTTTTGAACTCAATGCCAAGAAGGAAAGACAACAGCAACAACAATATGAAATAAAGAATGACATTAGTAGTTATCAGTCTATTATTCCTGTAAGAATTATAAGTAATGTGTAAGACATCAGTCGATATCTTGCAAATTCAAACAAAAATCAGGATCTTTATTATCACTCTGCAAAAGAATTTACTCTAAATAAATCATTTTCTCTTAAAATAAAAAAGACTAACATAATATCCAGGAAAACCATGAATACTTTGCCAAATCATTATAGGCGATCATGAATTTTACTTTATTTCAAAGTAAATGTGAAAAGCTGAATCAGAAAACAACCCTGATGTAACGTTCTCTGTAGTCCAGACTTTAGCCAAACTGACTCTCAAGCTTAGAGAATTAAGGAAACATAGTTAAGTAGAGTGGCCCAAAATTCTTCACTAATTAATTTTGCTTTGTGTTTCACAAAAATTAAATCTCTTGATGTTGCTGTTTCTTTCCTAGTGTTTCTTATTGTGAGTTAATTCAAGCTTACTGAACTTACAAGTCATCACTCGTGCCGTCGGAAAACTTTCCATAAGACACGAGGCCGTAGTTGTTTTTGTCAATAGCGATCACAATAATGACCACTATCATAGGGACTCCCCAGCCCACCAGTGAGAACTTCAGCATATAGTGGGATATGTTGTCGTTGAAGACTTTAACGAGGGCGTAGTACATGTGGACGCCCTCCAGCCCCATCCAGGTGAAGGAAACCAGTAGGAAGTAGTGAAGGAACCAGGCGGTGGAAATGCAGAGGCCAACGGCTTCAGGATAGAGTGCCAGCCAAGCGTCCACCAGGAAAACCAGGTTGAGCAGCAGAAGGGCCAGGCAAAGCTGGATCAGAATTTTGGATGGGATGTCTTTACGCAGCTTTCTGTTGGGGTGAAAGGATTTAGACACACCCTGAAAATAGTCATACTTTGATATTTTCAGTGTACTTAGATTTTATATGAAAGTTAAACATTAACGAGCACATATCGTGCAGTTGAAGGGACTTCACTGACTGCTTTTACAAATAATAATATGAAAAATGTTCTACATATGAATTTACCCTCTTTGATCTTTATAAAAAATGTTTATTCAACTCACCCAAATGACAAGTAAGTGAGAAGAGTGATGGACAGGAAGATGGCAGAAAGTCCACAACCTATATAAGTGATGAAGGTGAGGATGGTGGCCTGAAGACGGCTGGTTAGAGTCTCTCTGGAGAGGTCCTTAAAGAAAGACAAACCAAATTAAAGAAGTTAGAATGACCTTAATGCCAAATAGACATGAAAAAGGGGGGGAACAAGTGCTGGAACAGCTGAGAGGGCTCTTACAAGCAAGATTGCAAAGCTGGTTAAATGGCTGCAGCCACAAACTGTCTCATTGTCTGTGGACTTTTGGACAAAGCAGCCGTCTGAGTTCCAGCCACCCAAACCATCTGCAGGAAACACAGCAGTTTAAGAAAAAAACGTTATTTATGTCTTTATTTCTTTACTTTAGATAAAATTCACGTGTTTTTATTTTAAAACTTACCGTTAAATGCAAAGTCCCAGAAAACACATACTGCCACAAAATTAGCCTGCAGTTTGGGAAAATAACAAATATTCAGCGTTTATTTATGCCTTATCTCATGTGGTCTGATCTGTGCTAAATATTGAAAATTTCCTGTGCGAATTAGACCCACCGGAACAGGTTCTATGTTTCTCAGGCGAATTATAACATTGTCCTCCAGTCCTTTGATTGAAAGGTTGGCCACACTTGCTCCCAAGATTCCACTGTTAAGTCTTTTTTTCCCTAAAGAGCCATCCTGTGGTTTAATGCAGGGATAAAAGATATTGAAGGTTTGTAAGGAAAATCATTGTGCATTTTCTATTTAAACATTTTTCATCATGTTTCAACATCATGTTTTTTGCACTTCATTTTTTTCTCGTATCAACAATGCTTATTGAATGTACAGACCTGGAAGACAGAGCTCTTCTGGTAAAAATTGAACTGGACTCTGGAGATCAGCTGTTGTTCCTCGATGGTTAGATTTTGAGTTAGGGAAGGGGGTAAAGTAATGGAGCCCTGGGGGATGGACGAGTCTTTTGCCATGCTCCTTTTCAACCTTGGATTACCGCGAACCTGCAGCATACAGAGTGACATACAGAATGGACAAATGGGCTCTTCCAGACACACCTTTTTTCCCCTTTAAAAAGGATTAAATCCCTTCCTTTTAACTTCACTTGATAAATTAAACTTTTGATGAAAATATTGAAAGAAGAGTATATAGTTCAATATTTTGTGAAAGAGCACAGAACCCGAGTTCTGTATTTGTTGTCAAACTTTCAGTAATAAGGGATATGCTTTTACTTGAGGAAAACCCCAGTCTCACCAGCACATTAGTGGGATCTGTGATGGAAAAAATGGTCTCTTGAAAGTTGGTGCCATCTGTTGGTTTCACGGAGACAGCTAGAGAGGGATACAGCAGGCTCTCTGTACTTTCTTCAATCACCAACTTTAATCCCACCGTATCAACAATCCCTATGATCCTGGGGAAAATAAAGTAAGAAGTTGGAGTCATACATATAATCAATCTTATTTGATATTTTAAAAATACATTAGTTCACAAAATCTATAAAAAGTAACTGAAAGTTTTAGACCAGCTTGGATAACCAAAATAATTCCGCATTTTACTTTGATTATTTTTATCTAACTTTCTTCAAACTCAGTAGTTTCATTATGGTTAATGGCTTATACTTTTCATAGTAGAGTTTGAGTTTATATAACCTGTCAGAGGAGCTTGACAGCTTTTCTTCTGAAGCATCCAGCAGGTTGCTGACAATGTTGACGGAGGTGTCTCCCAGTTCCTTGCTGACAGTCGGCCCCGACAAAAGCTTCTCCAGCTGTGAAACCAACTGCTCTATCTGCTCTGCGGTTAGTTTGGAAACGTCTTCAGTCAGTGCAAGCAGTTCTTTGGCTTGACTTTCAGCTGCAGAAAAAACAAAATACAAGAGAGATGATCCTCTCTTCAACAATACAAGTAGGCTTAGTATATTAATTATAAACTCACAACCCTAAATATTACTCAGGGCAACATAGGTGCTGAAAGCACATGTTTACTCACAGAGGAGCATACTGGTGGCAGCATTATGCTGTGTGATTTTTTTTTTTTCTTTTATCAGTATTGCCTTTTGACATTTACTAAAAAAAAAACACACGTAACAAAATACACTTATCCCAAAGCTATGACATATTATATTAGGGTTAAGGGGAAGTTTAAATATTTAAATATGTAGATTGGTTGAATCAAAGTCCAAATTTGGACATTATCAAAGCATTGCTGCACACCAGGAAATGCTCTAAACCTTGATTTTCATGTAACCTACTTAAACAGTTTTGACAACTTAGGGTTATTTTATCAAATCATTTCAAAACAGGCATTTTTTAAAGTGCAGATGCAGCAAGAAAAAAAGGAAATTGAATACTGTTTCAAATATCTGTAATGTAAAATGCATAAACTAAACTTGATAAAATAGTAATTTGAAAACGCACCGTCTCCATTTGTAGCCGAACTCCCGGTGGTAGTCACAGTAACTGACACATCCGTTGTGTTCGATGTCGGTTTTCCTCCAGATGTGGTTGTGTTGTTTCCTGGACTTGAGGTGTGGTTGCTAGGGTTTACTGTTGTCACATTAATGCTATTTGTCATATTTGGGTTAGTTGTGGTGTTTAAGGTAGTCACATTTTGGCTAATTGTGACATTTGGACTAGTTGTGGTGTTTAAGGTAGTCACATTTTGGCTAATTGTGACATTTGGACTAGTTGTGGTGTTTAAGATAGTCACATTTTGGCTAATTGTGACATTTGGACTAGCTGTGGTGTTTAAGGTAGTCACATTTTGGCTAATGGTGACATTTGGGCTTGTTGTTGCATTGAGGTCAGTCACATTGGAATTAATTGTCACATTCGGAGCATTTGTGGTGCGTATAAAGCTGAAAGTACAGTTCTCCTTTAAATTCACAAGCAAGTTTTCTCCAGTTTTGCTGCAATTAAGAAAGATGTAAAAAAAAAAGGTATTATTTCAAAGTACATCGGTTTCAATCTAAGTGAATATATCTCAAGGACTATTTATAAACTGAGTTTATACAAACCATTTAAGGAGGTTAGATCCCTCTGCTTTGCTGCAAAAGTTTACACGCTCTAGGTCCCTGTCCACATAAGTGAACTGGTAGTCCAGCGAGCTGGCACTGATGTCTTCACTTCCACAAATCGCTGCAACATAACACAGGAGTTAATGAAACTCACAGAGCCTTAACAGACATTTTGATATAGAATCAACTTTCATTAAATTGGTTCGGGCACTCACCTGCTCTCCTCACTCGTCCATCATAATGGATTTTTTCTTCAGGTAGAAAAACATCCCAAACAGCTTCAGCCACTGAACAAATTGGGACTTCTTGGGCAAAGCCTAAAATCACTCGGCAGATTTCCCTTCAACGTAAAAAAGAAAATAAAGATACATTAGCATAAAGGCTTACAGATAATTCTAGGTCAAGGCAAGGCAAGGCAAGACAAGGCAAATTTATTTATATAGCACAATTCAGTACAAAGACAATGCAAAGTGTTTTACGTGATTAAAATATAGGAAAATAATACAGAAGTAGTGCAAGTAGAGCTGATTGAATATGTCTTAATTTCACTTATACAAACAACATGAACATATAACATCAGAATCCAGCAGGACTTAATAGGACTAAAGACCGTGCATGAAATTGATTTTAAACTAAATGAAGTCTAAATGAACTAAATGAACCAGCCCAACATTACATTGAAACATTGCAAGAATAAAGGAATTATTGTAGAAACAAGACAAAAAAGCAATGACGTTATTTTTGGTGGGTGTGATCATTTCGATGTTTTTTTATGCAATACAAAAACCCAACAAATCGAACAAATGGAGCTCTTTAAAAGTTCTGATGTTTTCTCTGACCTTCTGCAAGCCATTGGATCATGAAAAACATGTTTTTAGTATCCTGGACACTTATTTTGCTTTTTTAGTCTTTAAAATGTTTTTACGTTTTTTTTAACATATGAATGGTACAGGTCCAAGATACATTCCTAATGTGCTTATGGAACATGAACCAAGTAGACCGCTGTTGTCTTTCCCGACTTTATAATTCAAAATATATATTCCAATAAGGCTAATTTGTAAAATAAAATGTCTTTTGAAAATAAGTGCATTTAAGATCCCTGTAAATAGCAGAAATAAAGGCTTCAAAACAACAATCTGTTTGTTAGTTGTTATTCAATATGATTTACTTTATCCGATAAAAAAAATTACTGGAATAAGCTAACCTTTCAATAATGCTCAATTTTATTGAATATAAATTAAGGTGAGGCAGCAGCTCCTTTCTATGCTCCCCAAGTCTGGAGCCAGAAGATGTACAGGAATTGTTAGTTGCTATAAAATCTGTATTGAAAACATTATTGTTTACTGTGGTGCCTGACTAACTGATTATTAGGCCATTCACTGATGATTGGCTGAAGGGTAGAATTTAGGATTATACTGTTTTAATATTTGTTTCTTTCTATGCAATGGTTTTAAAGGGATGCAGGTTTTTGTTATTTTAATGTTTTTCCCTGTGATTTAGTGTTAATCACTTTGGATTTCAAGGTGTATGAAAAGCAGTGTGACTAATCTTGCCTCACCCTATGGATTAGGTGAAGGACGCCCTGGTTGCTTTGAAAGCAAATTTGGTTTTCTTGGATCTTATCCACAGAGTTTAGGTCAGACCAGTTTTCTTTTCTTTTACTTTCAAAAAATATTAGACTACTGAATAAAATATTTTTTTCTCCTCAGCCCAGCTATGGTGCTTCTGTCCTCGTCTTTGGTTCAGGAGTGTCAGAGGCAACCCATGTCCTTGATGCATCTGTATGGTGGCCTTTGAAGGGACTGATTTCAGCTGCTGTTAAAATGTCATTTGAACTCCAGAATGTCTTAGCTTCACAATCCTCTCAGTTTTTATCGTTATTGCTTTAAGCAACTTTCTATACCTCAGTTTTTCCTTCCACTGAACTTACTATGAACAGCCATGTTTAGATGAAATATATCAATAACTGTCTGCTGTAGGTCTGCAGTTTTCCTTGTGATTGTGTAAAGTATAAATTGGTGGGTATAGCACTCAACAATTGTTCTCAAGTAAAACTAGAACTAATTCCTAATATTTTTACTCAAGTAAAGTAAAAAGTAGCCATTATTCAATAGTAAGAGGAAAATAATAATTGGAAAAAGGCTACTCTGGCTACTCTGGTCATAAAATCAGATTTAATGTTTTAAAACATCATGTAAATTTACAAAACACATTGTAATCTCAAGTACAATGTACAGAGCAGAGTACTCTTTAAAGTACATATTTCTCGAAAGGTAACTCAATTAAATGTAACTATTTAGTACCCAAATGTAACTATTCAGTACCCATCTCTGGAAACTGATTAGTTTGGTTCTAGTTAGGTCTAAGTTTTGATAATATTAGTAAAAACAATAATCTCAGATATATCAGTATGTGTCTAATTCATCTATACCAGGGGTCCTCAACAGGGGGTCCGCGACCCCTAGGGGGTCCACGGAGGTACTGCATGGGGGTCACAAAAGTTTTGGTTGATTAGACTTTTTTTTTTTATATTCCCCCCTGCATTTTTTTTCCACTAATTGAAATGTTTTTAAATACGCATTAACTCAAATTCAACACACTGAAGTAAACAGATAAATGGAGGCAGAAGATGTCTTTCAGTCATCAATGCAAACATTCAGCAACACACTCTTTCAAGCTGGAAACCGTTTCATTCACAAAACCTGTCCCATCAACGAGGAATCAGAATCAGAAATACTTCAATAATCCCAGGAAGAAATTACGTTCGTTAATGACACCATCTCTAATAAAGTGACTATAGGACCAGTTTGATATAACACAATTTCATACAATATATATAATTAGGGGTCCCTGCTGAAGACCCCTGATCTATACAGTATTTTGATTGGAATTACTGAAATAAAATGCGCTTTTATAAACTCCTGTGATAAATTGCAGTGGTTTGATAACTTACTTTGTTGCTGTTCTTTCACAGTTCACACTGGTGCTCTGAAATTTGAAAATAAGAGCATGAATAAAAATAAAAACAAGCAATTTTTTGTAATATTTTCGTTAGGATTTATCGACTCTTTTATCTCTAGAACTTTTTAAGACTTATCTTTTGTATTTCTAGATACCTTACATTGACACAAATACATTTAAGTAACGTTTAAAAATGTCTTACCCTGTATTGATATGCAATCGTAGCCAATAATTGGCATTTACCGCTGCATAAAAAGAACATGATTTATATTTCACTTTTACTATCTTTGTAAATCTTGTTTTCTGTTATAATTCTTAACAAAATGAGAAAACTCACTTTATATCGATGGAGCAGTTTCTTGTTTGTCCCAGCTTAGAAATCTGTAATTATAAGTTAATATCACCCTCTGATGCAACAAGTTTTTAAAGTGAGCTGTTATTAAAAAAGGTGTTAACAGGACGTTACCAGAGATGTTACAAATGAAGAGTTCATTGTTGAATTTTGTAGTGAAATGGATAAAGTGAAGTATGCATCTGAGAACAAAAATAATATAATAATATGATATGATAATAATTGTTATATATTGTATTTATTTTGACAACAAAGGAGGGGTATGTTTGGTCTGTAAAATGCTAACCAGATCTGTTGCAGTGTGAAGAGCAGTTACATTCTCCTGAAAATAAAATAACAAATAAAAACAAGAAAAACATTAGTATTGTCCACACTGGGCTAATATTTTATGTTTAGTCAAACTAAAAATTATATATCAAATTGCTCTTGTAACACATGGCGTCACCCGTAATTGTAATGGACATGAAAGACTGTCCCACCCCTAACCTTTCCCACAGCCTCCATGTGCTGAATGTTAACAATAATATCCTTTATTTGCTCCTGAAATTCATGTTTTTATGTGTTGTCGTGCATTATCAAATAAAACGACAATGTTAAATGATATGGCTACATTTGTTTTTCTGCATTGTGATGTATCTTGGTTGTTTTCACACAGAATAATTCTTCATAAAAAAAAAATGTTCAGGACAAATAAGCATGTAAGGAAAATATTTATATAATCTGATATTTTCCAGGTATGTTTAAAACAAAATAACATTAGAGCACACCTGTACCGCAGACTGTTGAGTTTCCTGTAGTAATGACGTATTTAGGCCCAGACTCCTCACTGTAAAAAGAAAAACATTATTTTATGTTACATTTGTTAATTTAACTTCATATGCATAATCCCAGCTATTTGCAAGATTAACAGGGCAAAAAAACTATTGAACTATATAAAAAAAAACAAATTGGATTAGGACCTTAAAACTGAGCTGGACTGTCTTTTTTAGGAATACAAATAACAGCATAAAATAAAAGCTGTATAAAAAAAAAAAACATGTTATCCATACAAGAGAGCATATAAAGCCCAGTTGTCTTTTAATTATTTCTGTCACTTATGATACATTTCCATTTTTCCAATTCATTGATCTCTGCTGTGTCATTGCTGTCCTAAACCTGCTTAGCAAATGGTAAAACCCCTACCATGATGCACCCAGCGGACCAGAATAAATGCAGCTGTTTGGCTCCCCTGAGCTCTCATTGCATCCTATATGAACTGTTGAGAGATGCCAAGAGTTTATAACATATAAGGAGCATCTTAAACTGGCATGAAGATAAACAAAATAAAGATCAAATACTCACTCCGTTCATCTACCCTGTGCCCCATCACGTGAATGTCAGAGGAATTTTTACTGGCCGCACAGAGAGTTTGAAGGATACAGCATGATGGTATCTTGTTACTCAGCTTAAGCAGGACGGTGCACTTGGTCTGACTGAAACATATAATCAGTTTTAGTAAGAACAAAACTTTAGAAATGCAGCTGTCAAATAGCTGTATCTGTTTCTATCCACTTACTTTGTTTTACTGTCTGAGGTGCAGGAAATCTCCATTCCCTGTTTAAACATAAACAAATCTGAGTCTTACAATATTTCTCATTAGTAAGAAATAAAAAGAAAATCTTATGCTACACGCCCTTATCAACTTACTTGAAAAAGCAAAGATGAGTCATTGCTGAAAATCAAACAAACGGATGAAATTATATAGAGAGCTTTCAAATTTAGGAATTATAAATCGTGAATAATTTGTCACTTGTAATGAAGAATGACCATATTCCAGATTTATTATGAAGTAGGATACCTGCTTTGTGGTAAATTGCTGTTGATCTGCCGCGCAAAACGTTTCCTCCTTAACTTTGTTTCATTTGTGTTTCTGCCCTTGGTTGTTTGGGTAGTCATTGGACTGTTGCTTGTTATTGTTGTAGATGTTACACTGGTGGTAGGATTGTTGCTTTTTGATGTTGAACTTGTAGCTGTGGTTGGACTGTTGCTCTGTGACGCTGTA